TTCAATTAAATTTCAATAAAGTTAAAAGCATAGCCTCACTATTAATATTTAAAAAAAAAAAGATTTAAAACTTAATTGCCTAAAAAGAGAAAAATCTACTTAATAAAATATTGAAAGATAATTAAATGGTTTGACAAAAATTTGGTATAAGTGATCTATATAGAAAATACAGAATTGGTTTTTAGTTTTAAGAAGGATAAAGTTAATAATTATTATAATATCATATGACAATTATTTGATCTAAATTCGAATTAATTTAGATTTAGTTTAAGAATATAGTTTGAGCAAATTTGTTTAATTTTAGTATTATTATATATTTATTATATGATTATCAATTATTGAGTTAATTGTTCTTAAAGTGTTCTTGATTTTTTATTAAAAAAACCTCTTAACATTTTGTATGTTTTTTTATGTTCATAATGCATTCACAATCCATAATGCAATAAACTGCATTTAGTATATTTTTCACATGATGTTATAATTTTGCTAGCAGAAATTATTTTCATGCTCTATAATTTTGTATCTATCTAATTAGATAATTTCAAAAATCAGGTGCTAAGTTTAAAAGTATAAAATTATTACTAAGACTATTAGCTAACTTTAGAAGCATGAAACTTTGAGGTATAAAGGAATTTTCATTTTATACAATTAAAGTATTTATACTGAGCATCAGGATCAACAGTTACTCTGCATTGAACTAGTGCCAGATAACAGAAACAAGAAAGTGTTATCTAAAAGAGAGGCAACCAGACTTAGTAATACATTATTAATAGATGCAAAAGCCTTTGTATCAGAAAAACAGAAAATGATAAACCCAGAGAAAGCCAAAATTAAGAGAAAAAAGCTTAAAACTTAGGATACTAAACTGAATATCCAAAATAAGAAAAATGAAAACCAAAGCCAAAACTTTGAGCAGAAAAGCACAGACACACAAGAAAACAGTGCTCAGAGAGATCTAACAGATGCAACAGGTACTAATACAAGCTGGACAGATAATATAAAAGCTACATATAGAAAAGTAGCTATATAGTAGGAAATAGAAGTATTATAAATAATAGAAATAAAGTCAATAGGAACTAAACCAAATAAAGTAGAAATAAGGGATGATATATATAAAGAATTATGCAATTTAAAGCTATTAAGTGTGAGAATTTCTTGATGTAAATTAGAAACAAGATTGGTGGACATATCAAGAGCAGTAGCATTTAAGATGCAATTAAGAGAATTAGAGATTAAGTGATAAATTGTTAGGGTAGAAGAATAAAGAGTTCAGTATAATGAAGAGCTAATAAGTTTTAAATCTTTATAATAGTTAATCATTGAAAAAAATTATAAAAAGCAAAATTTTAGTTTTTGTTTATTTGTTATATATTTTACTAATTAAATATATTTTATTATTTATTAGAAAAATAATAAGTTCTATATGAAGGATCAGATTAATAATAATCAAACCTAATATACAGAATAGGTTATAGTATTCTTTGCAATTATATAAGTTAAGCATATAATAAATAACTCTACAAAAGATAATTTAGCTTTCTCAAATACTATCTCATCTAATCTTTTTAAGAAACATGAACTAAATATTACTTTTCAAACTATATTAAATAATCTTATAATTATTTAATATTATCTTATTAATAAAATTATTATTTAATATAATGTCAAATTCTAAATTTTCTAACTAAAACAAATTAAATTATTATTATCTTGATTCTTATTATATCAAGTTTATTTAATACTACAAACTTTTTTTTTTCAATATCATAATACACATTTATATTTTATTTATATATTTTTTAATTCTTTTTTATTAATAATTATCTCAAAAAAATCAATTTTAATATTTTTAAACATGATATAAATGAAACTCCCATTTATCTTCTTTAAGAATTTAAACTTTTATCTATATATATTTTCTTACTATTATAATACTTAGCAACTAACTTTTTAGATTATATATTATTATAATCTCTTTCTAATATGTCAGTATTTTTTCTATATTATTACCTTTAAATAGTTTGTTTTTTTTCTACTCTAATAATTTAGTATAAATAAGTGTTAAACTATTTAACTTATTAATTTATATATATAATATATAAGATTATAATAAACATTTAAAATAACAAATCTAGAAAGACTTTTACCTTATTAATAATTTCAAAATTATTAGTATTATAGAAACTAAAATAGTGACAAATAATCTTATAATAAAACTACAAAAATCTTAATATTTTACTTATCTTTAGTCTTATATAGATAGTTCTAAAACTAGTATTACTATTATAATTTATAAGTTTTATTAAATATTATATTCATAAAATTTTATTTTTATAGAATATAATATTGAAATAAATCTTTTCTTCATATATGACTTCAAGTTTAAAATTATTTTAAACTACTTACTATGTGACAATATTCAATTTAATCTATCAGTATAAAATACTATTATATAATAGATTTAATAAATTATTTTTCTAAATATCAATTTATTATCTTGAATAACTTTAATGTATCTAATTATATTATCTAATCTTCTTTAATTAAATATAAATTTTTTTTTTTAAAATATTAAAAATAAGATCATATTTTAAGTTTATTAAAATTTAATTAAAGTTTTATAAAAAAAAGCTTATTTTTAAATTACATATTAAAAATAAAAACTTAAATATATAATCTTTAACTAAAACTCATTTAAATTTAAGTATTAGTAATAATATAAGAGAGAAAAATATAATATTTAATTTATTGAATAATCTAAAAATTAATTTTAGTAATAATTTGTAATATTAAAATAGAAGATAAGTATTAACTAAAAAACAAGTTATATTAATGAAAGATGTAATTTGAAATTGTACAGACTATGAAATATAGTATAAGATTCATATTTATTTATTTTTATTTTTTTTTGGTATTAAGATGAGGTCTTGCTCATATCTTTATTAGTAATATTAGTTGTATATATTAATATACTATATACTAAGATATACTAAGATTGTAAACTACAAAATAAAAACTACATGCAAGAATTAAAGCTTAGACAGTTTTATTTGTGACCTAAACTAACTATAGTAATCAAGACCTAGCTAGATTTGTAATATTAAAATATAGTTGTAAGATATGCTATGATTAATCCAAAGTGTTAACTATATATTGATTTTCCTAATAGCTTGTCCAATTGGTAGGCAGATATTAGAATATAAATATAATTGATCTGCTATTCCATATAGATATAAGTATAAATAGTTTATATCTGATCTCTTGTAATGTCTAGTTTGCTATATTTGTTGAAGAGTATGATTATTATTAGGACTTAAAAAAGATGTAATATTATTATCTTTTTTTCAGTTAGAAAAATAAATGCAGTAAGATTTCCATATTTGATTATAGATTTGGTTATTAATGTCAAGAAGTATTTGAATAATAGTTTATAAGGCTATTTTAATAGGTATGTCATAGTTATGAATTGTTTTAATTAGAACTTTAGATATAAGGCCTTAAGCATAAGATCAAGATAGAAAGAGTTTGCTTGAAATAGTATTCAGTCAAATGAAGAATGATTTTGAATTTTGTGAATAAGTTCCTGTAATTAACTAGTAAATAAGTTGAGATTTGCTTTAGATAAAATGTACTAAATTGATGAATTAATAATGTTTATAACAAGAAATAAATTAGAGCAAGTTAACCAGTATAAGTAGGAGTTAGGAAGATTGCATTGAAAGCAATTGGTATTTAGAAAGATTATTGGATAGGTATTATGATAAGAAAAGTATATTGGTAATTGATTCAAAAGGACTTTAATTTTGAAGGTTTTAGATTGGTTGAGTTTAAAGCTAATAAAGTTAGATGTAGGTTTTTGATTATGATTAAGATATGACTATGTAGATTTCCAGTCTATATAGTGGTTAATATGAGCCCATTTATTGTTTTTTTTTGTGAAGACCACATTGCCAGTATTTATGCTTTACAGATATTTTTAACAAAATGTCTGATAGAAAGTTCAACAAAATTTTGTTCCTATTGTAAAATATAAAAAGGATTGTAAATATTTGTATATTAAAAGTTTAAGGGTAGGGAAAAAGTATGTTGTTTTGTTAAAGAATCAGCCATGTTATTAAAGGTATTATCTGTATAGACTTGAACTTTGTAAAAGTTAATATTTAAATTAAAGGATTTAATAATATTAAGAAGTATATGCCATAAGTGCCATGCATTAAATTTAAAGAGTTGTTAGGATTATTAAGTTGAGTAGAAAGTTTGTAAAATTTAGAAATAACAGATTGTGAGTCAGTATAAATTTGAAGTATTGAATTACATAATATAGTTGAAATTGCTAATAAAATAGAGAAGAGCTCTGCCTTATAGGCTGATAGCCAAAAGTAAATTTTAGCTAAAAATTTGCAGAGGATTTGGTTGTTACTGTTGACTTAAACCCATCCAATGCCTATTGAGCTTTGTTTAGTTCTAATATTAGTTACTGATCCATCTATATAAAAAATAAATTTCTTATATGACAGATTGTTTTGAAAGATTTTTTCAAGTTTGTTTGAGCATTTATTAAATTTAAAAATTTCAGCAATAGTAGGATAGTTATATGGAATTCATAAAAGATGTTTAATTGCTGTTGAATAAATAAGGTTCAGATAGTTAGCATTAAGTTTGAGTTTAAAGGTTTTTCTTCTCAAAAAGCTAATACAAATAGTTGCTGATATATTAATTATGCATATTCAATTAATTCTATTTGAGTTAAGATGGTACTCAGTACATGGTGTGCAGTTCAAATCTTGAAGAGAGTAATAATGATTATGTTCTAAATTAATATTAGCATTCCAGAGTAAGATAGAGAACTGATTTGTGTTTGGGAAATATTTGTAAATTTTGCTAATAATAATCTCTTATTATTGTCATTATATATAAATAATCATAGTTAAGTTTTTTCTTGATTGGTGAAGTGTTATATGTGAAGACATTAACTCCAGATGATTAAAAATAAGAATGAATTAGGTGGTGTAGTCTGTTAGACAAAATTGTGTTTTCAAGGTAGGTAAACCAAAAAGGCTGCCTTCCTTTAGTTAGGTGATGAAGTCTGAGTGAAAGATAATACTATTTGAATAAAGTACTGTTATCTGCAGTATATAGTTGTTCTAAATAGAGTATGATGTTTTTTCAAAGTTGTTTTCTAAAAGTATTGTATTTGAGGTACTGAATAAGTATTAGTTCTAATGGTTGGTAATTATTATGAATTGTGTTAGGCCACAGGACATTAGAATTTGCTAAAATTAAAATGTCCAAGTGTTGTTAAAGTTGTATAATTTTGAAGTTAAGTATAAGTTTGTTGGATCCATCAATAAGTGGTTGGTTGTGCTAAAGAATATTAGTAGCAGACCAAAGGTTGTTTTGGAGTTGCTGTAATCTAATCTTTGTAGAGATACCAAGTGTTTCTGGGTCATTAATTCTTTGTTGAAAGCAAGATATATAAATTTTTTTTTTTTTTAAACTTTGGCAGCCTTGCTGTTTAATTTTATTAAGTATTTAATATATATTTAGTATATGCAGTTACACTTAAATTTTGGTTCGACATCTTCTAGCCACTTTGAAAGTGCTTAGAGGCAGTCTGCTGTACTGGTTGGGATATTATTTGAATCTAGAGGCTATATCAAGCTAGCTTTTGAGGCTATAAAAAAAGTGCCTTACATTATTACTAACAAAATTTCTAACTGACCCTAGCTATAACTCTTGTATTCTATTACTATCCTCCTTTTTTTCTTTATCTTTTCTTCTTTCTAAGCTAAGGTTTGCTTATTTGGCTTTGTTGCTCTTTTCTCTTTTGGTATGCTTGTTTTTGCAAATAGTTGTTTTTCATATTTTTTTTTTTTTTTAGACCTATTTCTAGTTCTTTTTTCCAAACAACAACTGCTTCACATCGTTTTTTCTATATATTCTCATAAAACTATTTCATGCTATATTTACT